CTTCTTCCCATCTTTCTTCTAACCATTGCTCTTAGAGATGATTCCAGTGTGTGAGGTACCCTTTCTTCCATTTGCCCCTTGTGTGCTTACTCAGCACTTTGCTTTGGAGATTCAGTCACCCTACTCACCAACTCTTCGGTTGAGTTGAGCTGGGCTGTGAGTACCAGTGAGGTCTGAGGAACTGGAAAAAGCCATTGGAGAGAGCAGGGATGCTAATGGGTCATCACAGTTGTCTGAAACAATAGGAGAGAAAGAGAGCAAATTCTATTAGTGAAATATAGTCCATAAAGAAAGCAATCATGGCATGAACAACCATCATTTATTACCCACCTGCTCTGAACAAGGCCAGCACTACTTGTTTCTAAGTGCTATTTCATCTACTCCTCACAACAACTGTGGAAAACAGGTGTGAATTTCTTTCACAGTTGGAGAAACTGAAGTTCAGAGATGTCAAGTTTATTCTGCCCAAGTTCACAACACTATAAAATAGTGTGGCTGGTATTCTCACCCAGAATTGTCTAAGTCAATAGCCCAACTACCCATCCATTTCTTGAACCAGCCTCTCGAGCAAAGCCTGAAGCTACAGCTATTGAACTTACTTTATAAGAAGGAAGACTATTAAAGGAGGAACACTGTTTATCCACTCTCCCAAATTCAGTCCCTCAACACCCTTGTAATAGTTGTATCTACAGGGATAGAATAATTTAGAATATCTCACTCCCAGTTGTGTGAAAGTCTTTGGAAAATAAGTTTCAAATTTTAATAATTCATTTATGTTCCACAAAGTAATAGAGGATAGTCCCGATCTTGTACGATCTTGAATCTCATATTTACTTCAGTAGCTACCCTTCCAGGCTTCTCTAAATGTAGTAACTATGTTTTAAAAGGTGTCTTTGAAGCTGCCCAAATGTGAAACAGGGTGGGGTCAGGGGCAGAGATGTGGTCTTAACAGCATAGATACGTTCTTCCCGATTGATACTGATGTTGGACCATCCAATCTTATGTAGAGTCTGCTGCTCTTCACATAGCATATTGGTCATCTACAAGGTTTTTTGTTGTTGTTTGTTTGTTTGTTTTTAATATTTCATTTATTTGCTTTCACCTTTCAATAGGGAACATGCTCTTTGTGGGACCTTAGGAAAGAATCTGGTACATCATTGGCTTTCTATAAAGTCTTATTGGAAGAATGGGATGGTGGGGGAGGGAGGGAGGGAAGAAGGGAAGGAAGGAAGGAAGGAAGAAAAGGGACTCACATAAGAGTACAAAAAACCCTGTTTTCCCATTTTTTCCATTTTGTTTACAATTGATCTTGTAGGACATTGCAAATGACTTCATGAAATCTAGACATACTTCAGTCAAAACAAATCTGAAATGTGTTATTCAGTTTGAAGGCAAACTAAATAGTATTAAATGCTCTTAGAAAGTTGATTTGACATTTTTTTAAATGTACATGGGATTATGAGGCTGCTTGCTTATCCAGCAAATTCTTAGGGAGCAGTATTTCATCTAATTGCTGGAAAATTAATGAGAAACATAAGGATTAATTTTTTATTTGTTAAATGTATTTAAAAAATCAACTGGCAAAGCATATTTTGAGTTTTTCTGCAACACAAATGTTTGAAAAATATTTTGAGGCATTTGACAAACACAAAACAGCCAGAGCCTCACCAAAGAGGAATAATATAAGAATCACCTCAAAAGCACCTCAGCAGATAGGGTCATTCTGTGAATAGAAAAGTGTTTTCACTTTTCTCTTGGTATAAGATGAAGGTAAGAGAAGGTGCATACACACCTCCAACACTCTTGTTTGATAACATAAATTTGTTACACTGTTTATATATTGAAAAATAATTTGAACACAATGAAAATCTTTATTTTCTTATGCCTGTTTCATTATCAGAAAACATCAGGTGAATGCAAAAAATTGAAACAAATTAAACTGAACCCCACAGGAATGTCCCATACACAGATGTGCATGTGCACATGCATACACACACACACACACACACACACACACACACACACACATCAAACACCACATAATACCCCAGTTAGTTCAAAGCTACATGATGAGCCCCACCTATCCACATCTGTAGTTACAGTTATCCTCCAATTTCAAATAACACTGTTTTTAGCACTTCCCAATAACTCACAACCCTTCTGACACCCACTTCCACAACCAAACTGAAGATCTTTTGAAGGTACAATACCATATATATTATAGTATTGAAACAGGGCCTGGTTGGGATCCCTTTAATAGAGGTCTTGCAATATCCCTGGCCTCACCTTTCCTTGAACTATAGCTAAACAATAGATCAATTTCCTGAGGCTTGAGCTCAGGATGTTCCCTCTCACCCAGTTCCTGGTTTTAGAAAATTACCCTAAAATTTATGATTAATACCCTTAGGCTTACTGATAACAATCTCTATGGTCTAGTCTAGCATTCTTTCCAGGCTAATCCCATCATTGTTCCTGGGTTGCTGACTGCACCAGAGAATCACATGGCCAGAGGGAAGACTCCATGCAGACCCTGGGAATCAATACTTAGCTTCTGGGGGAACACGAAGATTTTTCCCCTAAACACCCAAAGCCTGTCTGAGAATGTCAAGGCAGTTTTTGAAGGTGCCAACCTGCTGCCTTCTCAGACCACCGGTGCTCTGATAACAAACGATTATTCTATAACCCAACTCCTGTGTCAGCCTATTGGCTGAGCTGTGCAGGCAGCATGAGCCCCAGACTTGGTTGGCCTTCAGTTTCAGTATGTATGTACTTCTTAAGCATCTAAGATGTATCAAACTGTGCTAACATTTTTATTAGGTTCTTATGGTTTTTTATGTGTCATTGATGACATTTTTAGCACTATGCCCCTTACCCTATTTTCCCCTAAATAGAAATGCAAGTTACCTAGTCATTTCAATTTAATTCAGTCCAATAAATATTTATACAAGCCTATTTTCAGCTTGGATAGGAATTGGGGATAGATTTGAATAAAACTAATTGTCATAACTCAAGGAGTTCAGAGACCATTGAGAAATATAAAGATGTAAACAAATCAACTGATGGGAAAGTTTAGGAGAGCTTCAAGAAGGTCACATCCAAGCCAGGGAAATGGGTACCTACCTGTCCAGACACGCAGGCAAGTGACCTACCCTCTGCAGGCCCCTCATTCACAAGGCACTGCCTTGGGGAGGAGTGAGCTTCCACAGCCCGCCGGCTTCCCCACACCGTCTGCCATTGTCCTTACCACCCATTTCCTCTTCTGAAATGCGCTCTCCTGTGTCTAAGTTTGTGTGATCAATGTTTCTACTTTGGAAATCAGTGATTCCATTAAAACAGCCTATGCTAATGAAAGGATCCAGAGGAGGTTTTCCAGGACTCCTTCCTGCATGGACCTGTTGTGGCTGTTAGAGACCACATGAGACATTTTGCGCCCTTATCCCTAAAAGTGATGAGTGAGGAAATTTCAATACAGAAAGAGAGAAAGACCTTCCCTATTCCCAGCAAATATGTAGCTCCCTCTGTCATCTTCAAGTCACATGAACAAACCTGACAGTGTCACCTAAATTGAGAATAGACTACCCCTCTAACCAAATTACCTCTAGTCACTGGGAATTAATAAAGTGTTTATATAACCATTCTAAATCCAAGTGCACATTATTTTTAGACACCTGTCCTATTTTTAAAGAAGAGGAGAGACGATCTAGCATAAATCAGAACCATAGTTAACTTGTTTGTTTGTTTTTATTTTAATGATTTGGGACAACCTGGGATAGTGGAAAATCTCTAAAGGGCCAGAGCTAGGAAACGCCCATTCTAGACTGGTTTCTTCTCTTGCCTCAGTAACTCTAGGTAATGCATTCAAATGCACTAAGCTTTATCTCCATTGTCATCTCAAAGAGAATTATATTTGCCATATGCAGCCAAAGTCTCATTTGAAAGATGGAATGAGAATAAATGGGAAAAATACCCCTGTAAGAAATAAAGCACAGAATGAGAACAGGAAGCAGTGTATAAGCATTGTCTATAATATCTGCTGCAATCAGAAGCAACCACTTCAACACTTTTATTTCTGGGATCTTGTTTCTACGTCACAAAACCTGTCCAAGAATTGGTGTCACCAATAGCTCTTTGGCACTAAAGTTTTACAATCAACCAGATGAGAAGGAGAACGTGAATTGGAGGAGAAACAAAGGGGTGAAGACATCCTCACAGGGAGTGAGGATAGCATTGCTCATGGCAGTCCTCCCCTTGTGTGAATTGGCAGCCTGGCAGAGGCTGGGCCAACATCACACAAAACACATGGCTGGGAAGGAAAGAAATGAAGCACCATCTGCTCCACCTGCCGGCTTTAAATAATCAATTCCATGTTGTTGTTAAATTTCAGCTCCACTCATATCTCAACCTTCTGACAGTATGTTTGCACAATGCTAAATTCATCAGTCAGTTCCTCCAAAAGCATGTGTGAATGTTTATCTGTATTTATATGAAGGAAGAGGAAAGGGTGAAAAAATTGGGGTAGGGAGAGAGATGTTTGAAGTTTAGGAAAAAATATTGTAGGACTAAAAGTCATGCTTCTAATGGGACATATAAACTGAGACAGATCATAATGATTTTCCCAAGGATCACTCTTCCAGAAATGAACTACACTTCACAAATGTACAATATGTTGGCATAGTAGAATATTTTCAAAATATGCTCTTAGAAAGACCATTCATGGGCATTTCCTCTGAAAGATTTGTTGTAAAAATCAGATGAAATGAAAATGTTATTTTTAAAATGCTACCTCTATTCACATGTAATTTATTATTCTCCATTTTTTTGAACAAATAACTTTATTGCAATCTTTACTGTTTTCCTTTATAACATAAAGGCCACCTCTTGCCCCACCCCACCCCCAGCAGATAAAATCCATGCCTTCGGGTGGGAAAGCACCTCAGCTCTTTCCATTCAGTAGCTGTTGAACAATTCCAGTCCTGTGTGGAAATTACTTAGTCTTACATCCACAGACTAAGAGAATATCAGTAGGTAATCACTAGATTTAATGTGGTGATCACATTGTAAAGTATACAAATATCAAATTACTATGTCATACACCTGAAACTACTATAATATTATATGCCAACTATACATTAATAATTAATAATTTTAAAAATACCAGAAGGAACCTCTAAAACTGTGGAATTCAAGCCCTTCACTTACAAATGAGGGTCTCAGGGATTAGGGACATGGCAAG